CCCCCACAACTCCTCCTTGCAGGCTACTGCTCTAGAAGCTCAGACCACTGAAACCCATACGATTGAGCCTAATGACAGCGCGAAAGCGGTGACCACAAAAGGCAGGCAAAAAGAGGGCTAAAATACACAAGTCCAGGGATGACTTTCAGAAGCTGTGAGCACCCGCATCAGCAAGCAGCAGGTTACACACACCTCGGCTGCAATAATGCATCTTCATTTCTTGTACAAGTTCTCAAAAGCCAGAAGCAGAGCTGGAACCCAGTGGCACCACCACACTGTATTAACTCTGAAGCTTGCAGGGAAACAGGGAGCTGTTGAGAAGGTTTTAAGATGACCAGCTGTCTGTGCTCATACAACTTAAGGTATGTGTTTTAGTACTACAGCTGCATTTAACCAGGAGGAACTGTCACATCAGGATCTGCAGTCAACTTCATGCTGCACTTAACATCAGCCTCTCACAGGCTTTCCCGTAAAGTCAGAAAAGCCCAGTTGCACACTCATCAGGGAAATCCCAACCAGTTTCAGATGGGCTCCATTTCTGTTTACTATTGTTCTTTTAGTAGCTCTGCCATTTCCATTTCAGATACTCCACGACTTCCAGGGCATTTCTATTCTACGGTGAAAACACCACAAACTTCCCCCAGAACAGGCCACAACTTTGAGGCAAACAACCACCCTCAAAGCAGGGCCTATAATGTATGTAGAGCATCAGCGGCAGGTCATGAATAGCCAAGTTCAAAGTATGCAAATCTGACGATTAAGATTTCTGCCTACAACACGTTACCAAACTACAAACATGTTTTATCTTGCATCGCAGTAGGTTTTATTCCTTGCCAAGACTTAAAAAACCCTTTCCTCATTGTTACTGAAGCATACACATGAACAGCTTAAACGCAGAACCACTTCTAGTTAGCAATACACTGATTCAGGTCTTACGTGCATCCACAAGACCTGTGTCTCAGGTATACATTTGCCTATTCTGCCTTCCCCATCATCCTAGCCTAACCAGAAGGAACAGTTTACAAAGCAGATTTTCCACATATAGCTAGCCGAATACAAAGGCTTGCTATCTGAAGTTGGGTTTGCATAAGATCCTGAAAGAGAGAGAAGCTTTAAGTGCTTTCCTGAGTTATTCCTATTAGCAACACAAGGAGCTTGAGCCAGGTTTTAAATACCTTTCAGGAAAAAAAAAGGCAAGGAAAACCAAGGGCTTCTGGGGCACCGAGTCTGAACGCCCTGAATGAAGGCAGCGAGCATCTCCTTTCCAAGAAGGAGAGGCATACATGAACACAAGACAAAGGCAATCACAGATGGCCAGACCAAACTGCTCCTCACTACCCAGTTGTCATCTAACATGGCCTCCTGGTTAAGGCCGTGTCTTCCCCGTGCTTCTGTCCAGGCACAGGGGGTACCCACACAGCCAGGACACCAGGGATTCTGTCCATCTGCAATCCTCCACCGAGCACAGGTTTCACAGTGCCGCTGCTTGCTCCCAGCTACCTGGCCGGAGAGCGTCTCCCACTGCTGCCACCAGCTGTGAGTTCTACCCGCACAGGGAAACCCGCAGCTGGAAGTCCAGGTCGCCAAACCAAACCTCTAAACCGCAGCTAGGTGACGTGCTGCTGCAGCATGCACACCGCGATGAGATTTCGAAGGAGAAAGACAAACATATGTCAACACCAACCCTCGAGGCAGCACCGGCTCCCTCCCGAATCAAAACCAGCGGCATCACCGGCGCTGGGACGGCCTTTGAGCGAGCCAAAGACCTCGAACCGAGAGCAGCGCAAGCCCAGAAGCGCCTCCCAGCTCCTTCTCGTGTGGGAACTGACTTTTCGCAGCGCATACAGCTTAGGCTGAGCCTTTAACAGCGCCCGCACCCCCCGCTGCGGCTCAGCGCTACCACAGAGCTCGACGGAAGAACCCGGCCCTTGAGCGGACCCCACAGCCCCCCGAGCAGGAGCCCGCAGCCGGGGCAGGGCCGGGCCCCGCCATGGCCGATGCACCCCGCGCAGGAGCGCTTCCTGCCGCCGCTCCCAAGCGATGAGGGTCCGGCCGCCGCCCGCCGCGCCAGGAAGCGGGGGAGGGGACGGGAGGGGAGGCGCGGCCGCCGCCCCCCCCGGGCAGAGCCGAGCCGAGCCCCAGCACCGGCACCGCGGCCGAGCCGCACCCCCTCATCCCTTCGCGGCTCTGGGAAGGGCTGCCCCCCCCCACCCCGACCGCCACCACCACCACCACCACCACCGGCGGCTGCCCGGGAGGCCCCCCCACACACGGCGCGGAGGGGGGGGTCTCGCGCGGCAGACGCACCGGCCCACGGCGGCGGGGCCGGCCGAGGGTGCCCAAGGGCACGGGGTAGCGGCGGGGCGGCGGCGGCTCCGTGCCCGCTCCGGTGCTTCCGCTCACCTTAGAGTCTCCGCCGGGCGTTGGCAACTCGCTGCGGGGTCTCCTCGGCTCGGGAGCAGGGGCACGCCGCCACTGACGTCACCGCGCAGCGCACGCCGGGCGGGGCGCGGCCGCAGGGGAGGGGCGGAGGCGTGGCCAGCAGGGGGCGCTGCTCGGCTGGAGCGCGCCGCCCCACCGCGGGAACGCGCGCGGCTGAACGCGGGGTGCGGGGGGGGGGTTAGGACCCGTACCCGGGATCCCCCCCATCCGCACCCCCTTGTGTGTGCACCCCAGGGGCCAAAGAACCCCTTCACCCCGCATCTGCACCCCTTGTGTGAACCCCAGGGGCCAAAGACCCCCTTCACCCCGCATCTGCACCCCCTTGTGTGCACCCCAGGGGCCACAGGAACCCCTTCACCCCGCATCTGCACCCCTTGTGTGAACCCCAGGGGCCAAAGAACCCCTTCACCCCGCATCTGCACCCCCTTGTGTGCACCCCAGGGGCCACAGGAACCCCTTCACCCCGCATCTGCACCCCCTTGTGTGCACCCCAGGGGCCAAAGAACCCCTTCACCCCACATCTGCACCCCTTGTGTGCAGCCCAGGAGCCACAGGAACCCCTTCACCCTGCATCTGCACCCCCTTGTGTGCACCCCAGGGGCCAAAGACCCCCTTCACCCCGCATCTGCACCCCTTGTGTGCACCCCAGGGGCCAAAGAACCCCTCTGCACCCCCTTGTGTGCAGCCCAGGGGCCAAAGACCCCCTTCCCCTTCACCCCTTGTGTGCACCCCAGCATCTGCACCCCCTTGTGTGAACCCCAGGGGCCACAGGAACCCCCTTGTGTGCAGCCCAGGAGCCACAGGACCCCCTTCACCCCGCATCTGCACCCCTTGTGTGCACCCCAGGGGCCAAAGAACCCCTTCAGCCCGCATCTGCACCCCCTTGTGTGCACCCCAGGGGCCAAAGACCCCCTTCACCCCACATCTGCACCCCTTGTGTGCACCCCAGGGGCCAAAGACCCCCTTCACCCAGCATCTGCACCCCCTTGTGTGAAGCCCAGGGGCCAAAGAACCCCTTCAGCCCGCATCTGCACCCCTTGTGTGAACCCCAGGGGCCACAGGAACCCCTTCACCCCGCATCTGCACCCCCTTGCGTGCACCCCAGGGGCCAAAGAACCCCCCTACCCGGCATCTGCACCCCTTGTGTGCACCCCAGGGCTGCAGGACCACACTGAGAGCACAAAGTCTCCCCTACAGCACTCAGTGCACCCCTGCATCCCTGCTTCCAAATTCCACACTTTCCTTCTTCCTTTTTCCTTCTCCCTGGAGCTGAAGCCAAAAGGACCAAAGAGCCACAACTCCGCTTGCTGAGTGACTCCTCCTGGCCAGGGGACGACTCCAGGGTGCAGCGTGCACTCATGAGGGGTTATAACCAACCCCCCTAAAAAGTTGAAGAAAATCAAAACTACCCTTCAGGAACAAAAGCACAGGGGGGGGAAACCTGCAGGAGCTGCCAGTTTGAGAAGCAGGAGCCAAAATTCGGCCTGAAATAGACAACTTGCTGGTCTCAGGGCACCCAGGGCTGGATCAGATGTTAACAGCATCCTCCTGAAGAGCCTTTATGTGTGCGTGAGCAAAACCTGCTCTGCCCAATGCCACTGGCGCCAGGAGCACGTTTGTGCCCTCAGCAAACACCGTGCATCCCTGCAGATTTAGGAGTGAGCAGTTGCCTTCGCACCATGCTCACTGCAGCCCTGAGTCCTCATGGAAGAGCAAAGGGAGAGGAATGCTTTCAAAATGATTCCTCAAGATGAACTCCTGAGTGGAAACGAAGCCGTGCAGGAGATGAGTGATTTTTCACCTCTTCTTTGCTTTCTGCAGCAGGAACCATCACCAGCCTCTGGTTCTGCTGTGTTCACTCCTTACCTACGTGGTGGCTGCTCTAAGCAAAGCAGAGGGCACACACTCACTGAAATGAAAGGCTTGAAAATCACACAGGAGCAAGACACAGCTCAGACCTCGGCAGTCAACCTCTGTCCTCCAGCTCCATCCTCGCCCACTTTCCTGAGGATGGGATGCTGAGCTCTGCAGAGGCATTTTCCAGTACTTCCAACACTGCCTCTTTGGGTTTAATTAGATCCAAAACCAGCTGAGATGGCAACACTGGGCAAGCTTCTTGGGAAGATGGTGCCCCCCTCTCCAGCATCACCTCCATGCACCACAGCAGGACCATTCAGCAGCTGCATCCCTGCTCCCTGCAGTGCAAAGTGCACCAAACACAAGGATGAAGACTAGCACCAGCACCTCCCCCTCTGGCCTCCTGATACCTTCTCATACAAAGCTATGGCCATGGTGGGGTTGCTTTTCTGGGCCAAATCCAAGCAAAAGCCTTGCCAGCACCCAGAGGAACTGCAGGACACGGACAGGTTGTGGGGTCCAGAGGGCCAGGGTGTTTCTTTGAGATGTGAAACCCCACCACAGCCCAATGCATGAAATCACAAGCTACGGAGGTCTCTGAACATCACCCCGATCCCTTTGCACATGGATTTTCATGATGGGAAACAGGTAAAACTGGGGCAGGGATCCCCTCTTCCCAGAGGAGCATAAATGAGCACATGTGAAGGTCTCTGATGTTGCTGTAATTAGCACCGTGGCAAAGCCCATGCTGTAATTAACTTTCTCCCTTCCAAGTTCACATTTAATGACATGCAGTAAAATAAGACCTGGGGCAATGAAACAGGCAGGGAAAGAACCATCAAATTAAGACACTTGGGACTCGATAAGGAATTAACTATACCCTGGCCTCATAATAATAATAATAATAGTAATCATACATTGCTTTTAATCTGCCCTTGTGCTCCAAATGAGGGAGGGCACTGCGAAAAGGTGATTGAAATGTCCCTCATTGACTCCTGGACCAGGCACACTGGAATGGGGCTGAGCAGAGCTGGGAGAAGAAAATCCAGGACAAAATCATCCCTGGGCTGCCAAGGAGCTGCCTCAAACCTCCCATCCCTCTGCGATCCTTGCAGGGAATGGCTCTTCCCACAGGGAATTGGTGCTTCCAGCAGCCTCCAGCATCTCTCAGGGTGTAGCAGGGGTGCAGAGAGGTCCTCCCTCCCCTTGGCAGTGACTGCAGCACCAAAGCCAAAGCAGTAGGTTCAGGCATCGAGACGGAGAGGTGTGAGTTGAGGGTGACCTGGGAGAACACTGCAGGACTCCAACGGGGCACCCAAACCCTTACCAGCAGCAGGCAAGGGCCAGGAGGAGCAGGATGCTCTGGGAACCTTGTGTGAGACAAACAAATCAATGCTAGAAAGGGAACAAGGAAGTTTAGAGGAGCTGAAGAGATTATTTTGAGAGCCATGCCATGGAGAACAGAGGACACTGCTCTTCCACCACCACCCTGGAAGGCAGGAGAGCCCAACCACAAATGCAGGTGGATGTTATGGAGCCCAACCACAAGTCTACTTGGTGGACTCATAATTCCCCTTCCACAAGTAGTCCCCAACCCTCACACATCTCCAGCAGAGGAGATGCACTAAGGCCAGTGTGCACAGGCAATGCCTTGAGCAGCACATAAGACTATCTTGTCTTCTCAAGGAGGTGAACAAGTCATGGGAAGGAGCAACCAGACTGATGGTATACGTTGGGATCCAACCTGGACATGTCCATCAGCACATTCCCACCTCACCTCCTCACAGAGCAGCTCCACATGCCACAATGTGAATTTTAACAAGGGGGAAAACCCAGCCCTGAACTCATCCTGCCACAGGCAGTCACAGTGAGGAACACCAGAGCTGGACAGGCAGGACGTAATTCAGGGCATTACCACACTGGCCCCAAGCACTTCTGCTTTTTGCCCCAAGTCCTCTTGCAATTGACTCCACCTGATCTCCTCCACCTCTCACTACAGCTTGGCATAATCAAAGACATAAATTACTCAATTACTAGAAAATCCAGTAAGGCTGAATGCAGAATGAGGTTCCTTAAAGCACAGAGCAAGTACTGGCAGCATCAGCATCTTCATTCCTTGGTCTCTTTCCTTGCCCTGCCTTTGGCAGCACGCAGGCACCTTGTGTCCTCACACTCTGGGGGTCCTGTACGGTGCCTGTGTCACTTGGTCAGGCCCTGGAAGTTGGGCTCAGTGCATGGGGGCAGCGCTGCCTGGCGGCTCAGCAGCTTCTCCAGGATGTTGATTTCAGCATCTCGTCTCTCCAAGTCCTCCAGCGGAGTCCAGGACATGTCGTGCTGGAGCTTATAGGCACCCAGAAATTCATGGGGACTGGTCCCCCACTCCTGGAGGAGAAAGGAGAGATTCATGTCACTGCTCAGCTTCCCTTGTGCTGTCCCTCTGTCCGTGCTGGATAACCCTGCCACCTCTGAAGCAGCCCCAGCTGTGTGATCACCCCATTTTCTAATCTCAAAATAGGTTCAGCTAGGCCTGAGGACTAAGACCAGGCCAAGCTACAGTGCTGCTGGCACAGGAGGCCTGGGGATACAAGGTCGCCCTGCACAGAGCTGCTCTACATGCTTGGTGCTTCCTTCTGAAGCCTTCCCCCTGCATGTAAGAAAACGGGTGGCCTGGAAGGAGGACACCCCCAGGAGCACTCTACCAAGCTGCAGACAAACACTCTCTGGGCTGAAGCACTGGAGGAGACTGCACCAGGCAGCCACAGCAGTCAGGGAAGGCCCAGGGCACGTTTGCAGTTCTTAACTTCTAGAGGAAGTGCCACTGGGACCAAAAAGCAGAATTCATGCACCAAGGTCTTCTCGCCCACCATCCACCAAGAGAACTTCACAATCTGGCTCTGAGACCAGCACAGGAACTCAGACCAAGGACAAACACCAGCTGAGCAGGGGACCAACAAATGCCCCTGTTAGGTTGGTGCTTTTATCTGAGGTCCAGAAGTGCCCAAGCACCAGAAACACCAGCTTTTCCCCTCCCTGCTTCCTCTGGGGCTGTAAGCACCCACCTTAGGTGACAGGATGGAGAAGTATCGCTGGCCACTCTCCCGCCTGTACATGTAGTAAATGTTTCCTGGCTTCTTCACAAGGTTACAAGCCACGTGGTGCAGGTCAGCATCTCGGTTAGCTTCATCCAAGACCTAAAAAAGCCCAACTATAACATCTCCACGCTTGAAATAAAACAACACCACGCCACGGCCTCTCAGCCAGAGCCTGACACGCAGCGCGTGACACGCTGCTCATGAGGCCTCATCCTCCCCAGTGCACGTCTGCCTTCATGCAGCAGATCTCGACTTGCCCCAGGCAAGAGATGCTTCCCAAAGAGATAAAGTTTTCTCCCAGTTTCCCCTGTCAGCTGGGCCCCAGAGCTCCTGCAGCCCTCCGCAGAGGTGGAGATACCTTCAAGCATCACAGCCCTCTCCACCACAGCCCCAGGTTCACCCCTGTGTCCGACCCCACCACATGCTGGACTCGTTCCTTGACTCCATACACACCCTGGGAGCTTCCCTGCTGTGGTCCCCAAGGGAAGGGACAGCAAACAAAGAGGGATTCATCTCCCCAGCTCCACAGCTCACTGCTCCACGGCTCCGGCCCCACCAGTGAACGATTATATGACACAGCAGCCTCGATGGCAGCGGGCCAGTCGCAGTGACTGGCAGATCCCTTCCCACTCAGGCTCTGAGATTTCACTCCCGAGGGTCAAGTGTGAATTGAAGAGCACAGCCGGGCCCTGCTGGCATTGCTGCCAAGGCCAGCTGCTCCAGTAAATGAACTGGGATGAGCTAGAAAGCCAAACCCACCGCCAGGTAACAGCTCATCCCTCCCAGGGGCTCAGAACCAGCCAGAGCCCCATCGTCACCCCACTGCACCGAGCCCCCCAAGGAGCACACACTACAGGGACAAGTGTGTCCCCAGACTGAGTCATCTCTGTCCTCCCTGACACCTCAGCTGGAGGAGCCATTGCTTCTCCACCTTAACACACAGGATATGCACAGGACTTGGGGAAAGCACCAGGAACAATCCCCCCATCCCCAGCTGATACCACACAATAAACCCACCCGATTTCCTCCCTGAATCTGCTCTACTTGGCTCCTGGCCACGATTCACACCCAGGTCAGAGCTCTTCCCGATGTCTGGCAGTTCACTTATCTCCCTCCCTTTGCAAGCAGGAGGCACGAGCCTGCTGGCAGCTGCTTCCTCACCTTGCGAGCCTGCTCCTGCAAGCACCGGATCTGCTCGGCGATGATGGTCAGTTTATTGCAGGCATTGGCCCGGATGAAGTCGTCCGCCTGGGAAGAAGAACGAGGATCAGGACAAGGACCTCACTCAAGGCTTTGTGAGGGCTGTGGGTGATGCAAGAGCTGCCCCATGTGCAGCTATGGGGCAGTGAAGGTACCCCCAGGCAGTGGGGTGACACCCCGGAAGCCTGGACATGCTGGGACACAGCCAAAGGGAGCAATAGGGACATATTGGGAGGCAATGGGATAGAACAAGAGGCAATGGGATGCAACTGGAGGAGACAGCAGGACTTGCAGGGAATCGTTTAGGTGGACTGAGAAGCTCTGGGGTACATAGTGGGCTGGGAGGTGTTCCCGGAAGGCATAAGGATGTACCAAAAGGCACTAGGGGGTAGTAGAACACACTGGGAGGCACTGGGAAGGGCAGCAGGATGTATTAGGAAACACTTGGGTGGACTGAGAGACATCGGGACAAACTGGGAGTCACTGAAGGGAGAACAGGGAGATGCTGGGCTGGACTGGGAGAGGTGCAGGACGCACCAGGACACACTGGGGTGCGCTCAAGGCAACGCGACACAATAACAATTGGGTGTACTGGGATGGACCGGGAGTCACCGGGGGGGGGCAGAAACACACATCGGGAAGCACCGAGGTCCGGCTGGGGGGGGGGGGGTCTGTGGGGAACATGGGAAGGCACCGGGAGGCACCGGGAGGCACCGGGGCCGCCGCCAGCTAAGGAGGGCAGCGGGACACCGGGAACCAGCGCGGCCCCAGGCCCGGCCCTACCGCCGCGGTTCGGCCGCCGAGGCCCGGCCCTCACCTGCTGCACCTGCCGGGCCAGGGCCACCAAGTCCCCAGGGTCCCCGATGCGGGCGGCGCGGCCGGTGCTGCCCTCCACGAGGGAGAGGGACGGGACCGGGACCGGGACCGGCACCAACCCCGCTCCGCCACCGGGCTCCGCACCGCCCTCCGCCGCCATTACCGGGTCCCCCCCGAGCCCCGCCCCTTCCGCTCAGAGAGGCGGAGCTTCCGCCGAGGGGCGGTGCTGATTGGTGGGCGGGAGGGGCGCGGCGGAGGGGGCGGGCCGCCGGTGCCCGGTTGGGGCGGGGCGTCCGCGGGCGCGGCCCCGGGGCTTGGCCATGGCGCTGCCGCCGGTGCTGCCGCTGGTGTTGGTGCTGCCGTTGGTGCGGGCGGCCACGCCAACGGGGCAGGTACCGGGGCTGGTACCGGGGGTGGTACCGGGGCTGGGGCCGGCAGAGGTCCCGTTGCCGGCCCAGCCCCCGGACGCTCTCTTCGCCGCCGGTGCCGAGGCGTACTCCCGTGGGGACTGGCCCGCCGTGGTGCTGCAGATGGAGCGGGCCCTGCGGGCCCGGGCTGCCGTGCGCGCCCGGTTGGTGCGGTGCCGCCTGCTCTGCGCCAACACCACGGCCGGGGTGGCGGAGGGGGCCGATCCGCAGCTCGACCCGGTGCTCCGCGACCTGCTCTTCTTCCGAGGGCTGCTGCGCCGTGCCGCCTGCCTGCGGGGCTGCGGGCCCGCCGAGCCCTCCCGTTACCGGCTGGCCGAGGAGCTGGACCGCGAGTTCAGCAAGCGCAGCCCCTACAACTACCTCCAGGTCGCCTATTTCAAGGTACGGGACCGGCGGTGTTGGGGGGGTCCTCGGGGGGCAGCGGGACCGACCGGGAAGGGAGAGGAGGTGTCCCGGTGCGGGGGGATCTCTTGCGCCAGCTACGGGATGGGCGGGATGCCCGGAGGGATCACGGAGCCGGGGCAATGGGTTGGGATGGGACGGACGGAACGGGGATGGGGCGAGCCCCGGGGAGTGTCCCGGGAGCCGGTGTGAGTCCCGCTGATGGGCCCGGCCGGGCAAGGGGGATCGGACGGCAGCCCCGGGCCCTGCCCGCCCCTGTCCCGCCCTCCCCATAGTGCCACGTAGGAGCTCGCCGGGGCCGCCCCCCCCTCCATCACTGCCGTCGTTCCACTGCTCCCCCCCCCCATGGCCCGGTACCGGGGTCCCCTCCGGTCTCAACCCCGGCCCCATCCCGTGCAGATGAACCGGCCGGCGCAGGCGGCAGCAGCGGCTCACACCTTCTTCATGGCCAACCCCGGGCACCAGGAGATGAGGCAGAACCTGGAGTACTACCAGGCTATGGCGGGTGTGCGAGAGGATGACTTCACCGACCTGGAGGCCAAACCCCACCTGGTGAGACCCCCTGCCCCACGAAAACACCCATCCACTGCTGGGCTTGGGCAGGTTACACCGTGCCCCGTCAAGCTCGTGATGCTGCGAGGTCAGTCCCATGGGGACAAGGCACAGGGATAGAGGGAGGTGTTGAGCCTCCCCTCATCCTTTCTTATCCCTCTTCAGAGTGAGTTTCGTCTCGGGGTCCGGTTTTACACAGAGGAGCAACCGGGCGCTGCCATCCTGCACCTGGAGAAGGCGCTGGAGGAGTATTTTGTGGCGGACACCGAGTGCCGTGCGTTCTGCGAGGGACCCTACGACTACGAGGGCTACAACTACCTGGAGTACAACGCAGACCTCTTCCAGGCCATCACAGGCAGGAGCTGCATGGGCTGTGTCCTACCCCGAGAGCTGGGGACAGTGCTGGGGAGGGGTTGTCCCCATAGAGGTCCCTAAGGACCTCTGGGGGTGGTGGGTCCCCAGAGAGGGCAAACCCCATCCTAGGTTTCACTAGGAGGTGTATGGCCAGTAAGCGGTAGGAGTGTGCGCACTCAGCACTGGGGGTGATGCCCAGGAATCCTTCAAAGTCCAGAGGGATGTGGAAAAACAGGAGAGGAGCCAGCAGAGGGTCACCAGGATCCAAGGGTGGGAGGCTGAGGATGGCAAAGGTGGGCAACCACCACCCTTGAGGGTTCCCACTGCTGCAAGTAAGAGGTGGGAGTGGAGACCCCTCTAGGTCCTGTCCATCAGCCCTTGGGTGACCAGAAGTGATGACACAGGGTTTTTTCTCTCCCAGATCACTACATGCAGGTGCTGAGCTGCAAGCAGGGCTGCGTTACGGAGCTGGCTTCGCAGCCCGGACGGGAGAAGCCTTTGGAGGATTTCCTGCCCTCACACTTCAACTACCTGCAGTTTGCCTACTACAACAGTAAGCAGCTCCTTGCCCCATCCTCCCTTGGCCGTTGGTGCTGGACACTGTGCTCTGCATGGGCTGTTCTTCATAGGTAGAAATCATAGGTTTCATGAATCCATAGATTCATGGAATGGGTTGGGTTGGGTGGGACCTTCAAGGATTATCCAATCCAACACAAGGTGCAGGGATATCTTGTGCTAGAGCAGCTTGCTCCAAGCCCTTCTGTCCAACCTGCCCTTGAACACTGCCAGGGATGGGGCAGCCACAGCTTCTCTGGGCACCCTGGGCCAGCACCTCAGCACCCTCCCAGGGAAGAGCTTCTGCCTAAGAGCTCATCTCAGTCTCCCCTCTAGCAGGTTAAAGCCATTCCCCTTGGCCTGTCCCTACAGACCCTTGTCCCAAGCCCCTCTCCAGCTTTCCTGCAGCCCCTTCAGGCACTGGAGCTGCTCTCAGGTCTCCCCTTCAGGAGCCTTCTCTTCTCCAGGCTGCCCCAGCCCAGCTCTCTCAGCCTGGCTCCAGAGCAGAGCTGCTCCAGCCCTCGCAGCATCTCCATGGCCTCCTCTGGCCTCGCTCCAGCAGCTCCAGGTCCCTCTTGTGCTGCTGCCCCAGAGCTGGATCAGGGCTGCAGGGGGGGTCTCCCCAGAGCACAGCAGAGGGGCAGGATCCCCTCCCTGAGCTGCTGCTCACTCTTCTTTTAATGCAGCCCAGGATACTCTTGGCTTTCTGGGCTGTGAGTGCACGCTGCTGGGTCAGGCCAGTTTTTTGTCCATCAGTATCTCCAAGCCCTTCTCCTCAGGGCTGCTCTGGACCCATCCATTCCCCAGTCCTTACTGATGCTGGTGGAGGACTTTCAACTTAACCTGTTGGACTTCACGAGGTTCTCACAGGCACGTTCCTGCAGCCTGCAGTGCTCTGCAGGAGATCCGGATCTGGCATGCCTGGCTGCAGTAACCCTCCACGTTGCTTTAGATGCCCAATTCCCCAGCAGCTTTGCTTTCCAAGTGAAATAACAGCCTGCAGAAGCCTGGTTTTTTCCTCCTGCCTTCTCTCCACCTCTTGCTCCCAACCACAGAGGCACCTCCCCTTCAGAGCAGTTGGTTATAACCCAAATGCACCCAATTTAATTATTACTTTGTTATTACCTCCTTAGAAAAATCTAAACTTGTTTCTATGCAAATTTCTCCAAAAGGAGTGGAAAACCCCCATGAAATCCAAGAAGGCTGACAAACTGGAATCCTGTGCATCCAGTGGGTGCTTAAGTGGCTGGAAATTGCAGGTTAGCCTGGGAATGGTTGGGTCTTGCTGCCTGGAAATAGGCTTTGAGATGTTCTGCAAGCAAGAAACCTACCCAAGCTGTGGCCCTGGTTTCTGGTGAGGTGATTTTGGAGGCAGGAGAGCTCCTTGGAGTTGTAATGTTGCCTCTGTGGCAGCAGCAATTTGCTCCAGGGTACCTGCCCTGCTTGGGAGATGCTTTGAACAGCAGCAAGGACTTCCTCTCTTATTTCTCCTCCATATCCGTGTTTGCTCTGCTTCTGATGCTCTTGGTGTGCCAGGTTGGATGGGGCTTGGAGCAAGCTGCTGTAGTGGAAGGTGTCCCTGCCTGTGGCAAGGGGTTGGAACTGGATGAGCTTTAAGGTCCCTTCCATCCCAAATCAGGCTGGGATTCTATAATTGACATCCCTGTTTCTCTTTGCAGATGGGAATTATGAAAAAGCCATTGAATGTGCCAAAACCTATTTGCTGTTCTTCCCAAACGACGAGGTGATGAACCAGAATTTGGCCTATTACACTGCAGTCCTGGGGGAGAGCCTGGCAGGACCCATCCAACCCCGAGAGGTGAGTGACCAGCTGGGATGAGCCATTGCAGGGATGTCTTCTCCCCTTCATGGGGACCTTTGCAGAGGTTTTGGGGTCTGCTCTGGTCCACCTGGCAAGGTTGAAGAGGAAGAGGGCTGCAAGACCCAGCAAGCTGGAAAACAGCTAAGATGAAGAGCATCCCTGGTGAAATATCTTTGGCCAAGTGAAGGCTTGGTGGCGTGCACAATGGATCAGCTCCTGTGGGAGAGGCTTTTCAGGAGGATCAGAGCCCACCTCTTCTACACACTTCCACAACTGAAGTGAAACTGCTTTAAGAGGAGAGGGTTTGCCTTCAAAATAGCTGGATCCGGATGCTCAGGTGCTGCCTGGGATGTGGTAGGCAGGGATGGAGGTCTCTGCCCCACATCAGCTGGAGCAGGAGAGGGAATCTGCTTCTAAAGAGCTTCTTGCAGGAGGGGCACGTGTGTCTCTGTCTCCCCCATCCTCTGCCCAGTGCTCGTCCACATGGGACAGGGAAGCTCATGCAGGATGGGGAAAGCCACTTGCTTCCCATCTGCCAGAGGGACTGCAAAGCCAGGGCCTGGAGCAAGGGCTGCAGGACTCGTGTTAAACCCTGTACCCTCCTGTGCTTGGTCAGGGTCTTTCCAGAGCCCCCGTGCCGTGCCCTCACCTGCACCTCTGCCCATCCCACAGGAGATCCAGGCGTACCGCCAGCGCAGCCTCATGGAGAAGGAGCTGCTCTTCTTCAGTTACGATGTCTTTGGCATCCCCTTCGTGGACCCGGTGAGTGGAGCTGGACCAGGCAGGATGCAGTGGCAGATGAAAAGGGGATGAAGGCTCTGCGCCCCAGCCACATCCTCACCCAGCTCCTCATGATGATGATGTTGTTCTGGCTGTAGGACACATGGACACCAGAAGAGGTGATACCAAAAAGGCTGCGAGAGAAACAAAAGTGAGTGCTCTCCCAAGCTGATGGCCAAGCCTACCCAATGTGGGGACCAACGGGACATTCCCCTCTTCCCCCATGGGGCTTGAGCCAAAGGCCATGGAGCTGCTGGTTTTGGTGTT